TGCTAGTGGTTCCTAACAAATCTATCCAACTTCCTGGGGCTGGCAGATGTTGGTGCCTCTATCAGGTTTGTGCCAAAAGATCAACTTAAGTCAACAAAACCTGTCTGAGCCATAGCCCAGAAGAAACAACACAAATCAACATGAAAAGACTCTGGAAGAAGGAAACTAACTGAAAACTCAAATCGATCTGGTTTGACTGCTGCTAGGTCACATGATGGCTTTGTGTTGAGGAAAAGCCAAGAGAAATGACAAGATTCCATTGACCAAAGTAAATGTAATAAGAGATACAGAAAGATGACTGTATGGAGGCTTCCTCTGAAGACCCAAATGCTTCTGCTCCCACCTCAGCACGCTTGTGCACACACTCACTGCCCACCCCAGCACACTTGTGTGCACACTCACTGCCCACCCCAGCACACTTGTGCGCACACACTCACTGCCTCCCCAACTGCTGTCCCAAACAATCCCAGCTCTCAGAGTCCCACATTTCTCAGTGACAAATGGACAGGTGGAGCAGCAGCTGCCTGGCACAGCTGTACTCTGAAGGCCAAGGTTAGGAGGGGGCAACTGGAAGATTCAGTCCCAACTGCTATCTTGGAGGTGGGATGGGTATTTATTGGCACAGTGCTCCAGGGGAAGAACTCAGGCTCTTTAGTGGTATACTAAAGGTCAAAATTCAACTTGGAAATGGAAGAAAACAATTACTCAAGATGCCTGAGGTATTGCATATCCATAATTTTGTGTAGTATGTGCAATACTGCAGTGGGCTGTGTCTGTGGAGATGCAGTCGGCTGGTGGGATGGCTCAGGGGGTAAAGACACTTGCCATGCAAATCTGATGACTTGTGTTGAATTCCTGGACCCATGGTGACAGAGGAGAACTGACTCCCTAGAGTTGTCCTCTAACTGCCCCCCCCCCAGAGTAAAAAGCAAAAGCCTGAGTTTTGTGGTGTTTTACAGCAGCACCATGTCTCTTTCCAGTCTTTCTGATCCTTATCTTCTCATGAACACAGATATTTTTGCATATTTGTGATCAGTAGATAAATAAACGAAGGCTTCATGTTATTTTTTTGTTCCCAAGGACCATTTGATCATATAATTCTAATAGTCCTATCTCTCTGCAAGAACTATGATTCTGGTTTTCCCAGTAATATTCATTTTGCTGGCATGTTGTTGGACTAGCAAGTGAGGAGAAATTAGTTTGACTGGTGCAATAGATTGTACTTAGGATCTTAAACAGTTTTTAATAATTTCAGGTAGAAATTGAATTTTCAAATTAAAAAGTGTAACTTTTAGAATATACTTTAAAGAGACCTTTTATCTTGTGTGTATAAGAATTTTGTTCTTATAGATGTCTGTGCATCACACCGAGTGCCTGGTGCCCTCCTTGGGAGTCAGAAGGGAGCGTCAGATCCTTCTGGAACTGTGATTATGGATGGTTGTGAGCCACTGTGTGGGTGGTGGGAATTAAATTTGGGCTGTCTGCAAGAACAATAGGTGCTCTTAACCACAGCCGATCTCTCCAACCTTATACTTTTTAATGGCTTCCCCCTCAAACTTTAGACAAGGATAAAAATCAGGAAAAATCGTGGCTCTATGCATCAATCTGGAAGCTTTTCAAAAGACTGTACATGTGTGATTCTGAATGAGCACTTTTCTATTGTAACTATCTGGTTACAACTATCATTTCACCACAGCATTGAAGAAGTAGCATAGGGCCGGGAGGGTGGCTGGGTGCTAAAGTGTGTGCATAGCAAGCACCCACATTTACTCTTTCAAACAGAACTTGCCCTTGGCTTAAAACCATATGCTTAATAAACAATAGCTGTTTTTAGTATGGCAATCTGTGAGGCCCTATTTGCTCTAGGGATTGCTTATATTTTGTGTAAATATATAACGCATGTCTTATGACATTGCATTTTAAAAAGTGGGATGTGGTGGATTTATAGACTGTGAGTTTCATTCAGCAGGAGCTTTATCAGGATCCACATAAAGGGAAAGCTATCCGAGTACATTGTAGATGCTAAGAAAAAGAAAGTTTGTGAAACTCATTTTAGTTGGATGCATGCAGTATGAATCTATAAAGTGTATTTCTTCTTTAGTTGCAATAAAAACTTGGAAAGTTCCTGGCACGGAGCATAGCTTCTTCCCTACCCCCCAATAATAGGGAATGAACCCACACCTCATACATGCTAGGCAAGTGCTGTTCCGTCGAGCTACATCTCCAGTCTCTAGAAGCACATATTTTTAATGAACACAATACAGTGAGTGTTCATTCTAGAACAAAGGAAAACACTTCCATATTTTTCTCTCATTAATAATAAGATATTCTCTTTTATGTTCATAGAAACGACTGTCTAGCTTTATATGTGGTATTAAGGGTATTGAAACCATTTAAAAGAAGTTTTCTAACCATTTTTTTATGAGTCTCAGAGAATTAGCATCTGTTGACATTCTTTTTCACAAGTGGGTTGTCATTCCTTTTATACTTGTCTACCAGAAAACAATAATGGATCCAAGGACTCCTAATCTTCAGCTTACTATTCTCCAACAGAGGCTTATCCTCATGGCCAAGATGTGACAGTCCCCTTTTATGATACACAGATTTATAACAAAACAGTCTTTCATTTGAAACAGATGAAGAATTCTAATCAGTCTACAAAACACTTACCCCTTCCACACATCCCCTCCTTCTTAAAACCATTTAGAAATGCATGAAATCTGATGTCCACATCATCATGTTGGAGGTAGAAGGAAAATAACCAACTTAACTGTGTTTTGTATGGTTCATTTCAATGTTGTGGGGTAGGAGAGGCAAAGTTGGAAACCCAATGACATCCATCTGGAGGAATGTCACTGATAACATTTTTGTACCCGTTGGGGAACACTTGGAGGAACCCCACACTGCACTGAAAACTTGGAAATGACAGTCACCTCAGTACTGAGCCTGCTGCCCTCTGTACTCACTGAGGGCTGTGTCCTGCAGTACAGCTGTCAGTGGGACTTTTCGGATGGAATTCACACATGTGTCCCTTCATTTTTCTCTGGTTAAAGCGTTGGCTATTTAAAGGGAATGTTCATTTCTAATGGAAGGGGCTTTCCATGGAAAGTAAGTAGAGAGACTCCAGGAGGCCAGGAAGGTCCCGATGGTCCCAGAATACACATTGTGTATACATGATACCAGTTGCAGAGCACACACTCTGAGCACTAAGTCAGGAGCTGGACACAGAGAAGATGTCCTAAGCGGATGAGGACAGAGAACGTAACTGCACTAGCTAAGGTATACTCAAGAAACAAAACAAGCACAGAGGAGAAATATCACCCTTGAGCGGGAGCTGGCAAAGAGCAAGAGATGTCTTTCGAAGTTGTGATGTTCGATTGAGCCAAGGGGAAGATGAAAGGTTGTCTACGTCTGGAACCTAAGGTTATAAGCACAATATCCATTCAGGATGCTGCAATTGAGGCAAAACAGTGTGAGAACATCAAATTCGGGAACAGCGGTTTCTTGGTGTTTAGCTAAGCCAGTGGTTCTCAACCTTCCTCATGCTGCGACCCCTTAATACAGTTCCTCATGTTGTGGTGACCCCCAGCCAGAAAATTATTTTCGTTGCTAGTTCATAACTGTAATTTTGCTACTATTATGAATTGTAAGGTAAATAGCTAGTATGTAAAAGGTCTTACATACTGTGAAAAGCCTGTTTGACCCCAAGGGGTCACGACCCACAGGCTGAGAACTACTGATTTAAGCGTTGAATATACTCAGGATGATAAGGCAGCCAGAGATTGCTGCAATGTTCAGTGAGTTAGGAAAGAGCCGAAACAAGGCTAGAGAGGAGGCCAGGGCCTCCGTGGTTTCCGTATGTAACTTAAGCAGGAACACACATAAGCTGGGCTCACCCCCATTGCTAAGGCAGGGCCAAAGTGCTAGGATTGAGTGGGAGGTGTGGTCTGATTGGTGCAATGTTTGTCTAGCATGCATGAGACCCTGAGTTCAATTCCCAGCACTACATGAACTGAGCATGGTAGCAAAGGCCTCTGATCCAAGCACTCAGGAGGTTGAGGCAGGGGAATGAGAAGTTGAAGGTCATCTAAGGTTACCCAGGCCAACCTGGAAGGTAGGAGGCACTGTCTCAACTCTCCGCTGACCAAAAACCAAGGTACAAAACCCAAACAAGCAACGCCCCCCGCAAAAAACCCCCCAAAACAAAACAAAAAAAACACACCCACACACACACACACACACCCACACACACACACACACACCCACACACACACACACACACCCACACACACACACACACACCCACACACACACACACACCAGGATGATCTTGTTAATGAAAAAGATGTTCAATAAACTTTGCTATATCAAAATAAATATTCAGAACTTCTAATTGATATTTTATTGATAACTATGCCCATTTTCAAAGCTCATGTTCCCTTTAATTCCTGCTTCTTAACAGCATCTTGGTGCTTGTAAATTCTTGTGCTTGGGTTGAGCCCTCTATGGTAAGTGATGGGCTGGTCTCCACATAATCACCACCCAGCTAATGTTAATGGCTGTGGGATCTACTGTGTTAGTTTTCCATTAATTTTCTTCTTAGCATTGTATAAGCTCATAGGTTTCATTACGTTTTCCTCAGTTTATCATGTAGTTTGAAAACAGGAGAGAATTGTACTTCTGGGTTTAGCTTATTTCCTTTAACATGGTGATTACAGTTCCATCATTTTTCCTTCAAATGACACGATCTTGTCCATCTTTATGGCTGGATAATACTCCCTTTGCATCCTTATCATAGACAGCTGAACCGCTTTCTTAACACATGCCATGCAGGCAGGCGGTTGTCAGAGTTTCCTCAAGGAAATGCTGTTTTCTTAAAGCTTTTAACTTAATCTGAGGTAATTTCTAAAGCTGATGATTATTAGGCCACACGGAATGCGAGTTTTCACAACTGCCTTCTGATGCTCAGGTGAAAGGCCACCAGAGGGCCTGGTACTTACTGTTTTGCTCCAAGTGAGGCCTGTAGTGTGGTGCTCCTTAATGTAGGCTTGAAGCTGGCTCCAGATGTTGAGGTAAGACTTCACCCAATCCACATGGCGCAGGTCACTTTTGTTACAAAAGAGAGCAGACGACAGCAGAGTTAGGATTGAAAATACAATTTCATTCTTGGGTATCTGGAGACAAGTCCAGGGCAATTGTCCTCTGGCCGGAAGAGAACACCAAGAAGGTGGGTAGCCCTGAGTGCTCCAGAGGGAGGCAGGAGGATGGCCAGTGCTCTCAGCTTCACATAGACAGAGACACAGCCTGCCACATGGAGCTGACACAGGATGTGCACCATTCCTAGTGGAGGTGACCGTGGAGAGCAGGGCATTCCTTCTGACCTCCTTCCCATACAAAACAAAGAGTTCTGCTAGGAGTGAGAACAGCATAAAAAGAGGAAACAAAGCCATTTAGCTTGTTTTCTAACAATGTAGGAATTACTTGGTTTCAGAAGTATAATTGGCTAGAGACTTCTACTCACTACGAATGATGAGGAAGTTGGTATTGTCAGAAAAATGTTTTCTTATCAGTAGGCAAGACCCCATACTTCTAAAGTGATTCTCACTGAAGTACCTTAACTGGACGTTCTTGACTAGATGTTGTTTTATCGAATGAGGAGCTAGTTGAAAGCTTGCCTTAAGAGGGTTGGCACACGGGATCGAGAGGCCTGTTACAATAGGCAAACAGTTGCATTTCTTTTATAAAATGTATTATTATTAGTTCCTTGAGAATTTCATATTTTAATCACATCCATCCCCCTTTGTTGCATTTCTTTGGGCAATTTCTGCCTCCATAACTTCCTTCCCCCCATTTTGAAGGAAGCCGTAGTCAGCAAATGAGAAAACACTGGGTTTTGAGTTGGCAAAAACTTGATGATACACTTAGGTCACCAATCTGAAGATAACCATAGAAGGAACCTCTTGAAAACATATTGTTTTCCTTGAAATGTTCTGGGTGCCAGAGTCCACCAAGATAAGCCATACCAACAGAGAAAGTGAACAGGGAGACAACCATGGTTTGGATGGGACAGGTCCCTCACAGAGTCATGTTGTTCCAAGGCACTGTCATTGTTTTGGGAGGTTTTACACCCTTTAAGAGGTGGCACCTACTTGTAGATTTGTCACTGTAGGGTGGGCCCTCCAGTCTATAATCTACCCCTATTTCCTGTTTCATCTCTGCTTCCAGACCTGCTTAGAGGTGAGCAACCACTCACAGCTCCAGCTGCCAAGCCAGCCCCATGGCCTTGCCTTCCTGAAGCATGAGTTATAATGAAGCTCTCTTGCGTGAGGTTGGGTCTGTCGGGAGTTGTGCTATCATCGAGGAAGCAACTGGTATAAGGGTTGGAATCCTGATCACTTTTCAAAGGGGATGACTCAGCTCTGTTTTCTCCTGCAGTTTTAGATTTGTTGGCTATATGACTGGAATCTGTGAAGCTCTGCCTCACTTTCATGGTTAGAACCCTCAAAGTGAGTGTAGTTTCCTAGACCTGCCTCATCAGCGTCTTGTTCTATAGGGTTTTGTGAGGCCTTTAGTAAGTCCTCTGGACATAGGAAACTGCACCACAGGTGCAAAAGGATGAGGCTCACGTCAATGTAAATTAGCATTCGTGTTTACATACATGCTCTGCCTGGGCAGATGTGTTTTTCATCTCTCTGTGTGTCCTTATACAACACACAGACATGGCAATTTACATACACTAGAGATATTGGATTTTACATTTGACATGGTCTCTACTGCAAATTCTAGCAACCAATGAGAGCCAGATCTGTATAGACAAATGTGTTTTTCTTCTAACCACCGAAGTGTTATTTTGACCTTGAGAACGTTCCGGAAAAAGCTGTAGGAAGGAATAATTGCATGGAAAATTCTAACAACTTACAAAGACCAAATCTATGTATGTAAATGTGTTTCTCACTTAACCAACACAGTATTATTTTGACTTAAAGAAAATTCTAGAAACAACTATACGAAGGGATAACTGCATGGTATCTTTTATCTGAAGTTAGTCTCTAGGAGATTAGTTGAGCAGCATCCAAACACATGGAAGCCGAGAAACCTCCCTCCATTTTCATTGCCTCTGGAAGTTTTGAAGCCACAGCTTGGCAAAGCCAAAGCAAGAGACTTGCTCTGTTCATATAGAAAAAGGAGCCAGAAACTAGTCAAGTTGGTTGCCGGGAAGCACAGAAGCAGAGTCCATGGCCCACAGTCCTTCTGTTCCAATCCAGGGCAGCCTGTCTCCAGCTTTCTCCTAGGCTCTGCCACATGGGCAACACAGAGAAGGTCTTGTGGGGAACTTGGGGGACCTACCTATGGATGGATGCTGGGCACGTGAGTCACCTCATAACCATTAGCTCACCAGTATAAGATATTCAAGAGGAACCAGGACCCAGATGACCCAATCTGCACTTCTGGCCACATTTCTCTGGCTTATTATATCTTTTTCAGGTATTCTGCTGATGAAGTGCATGGTGACGCTGCCTGATATTTTATCTTTAGCATTAAAAGTTGAGGTCAAGGGGTAAAGCCTGAGCTGGGCTACTTGGCATGGACTTGTAGTTACAACTACAAAAGGGGCTGAGACTGGAGAATCACACTTTGAAGACCTGCCTGGACTACAGAGTGAGTTCAAGGCTAGCATGGGCAACTTGGTGAGATTCTGTCTCAAAATGAAGAAAAGTGAAGAGGGCTGGGGATGTAGTTTGTCTAGCACAGGGGAGGTCCTGAGTTCAATTCCTACTGCCTCAAAGGGGGCAGTTTGTTTTGTGTAGGTGCAAGAATGTGGTCTATCTCCATTTGATTGTATTTTCCTTCTAACCTCAGATCATTTTCACTAGGATTCATTATCTAGGCTGTTGGATACCAGATATTTTCATGCTCATTCTCCAGACAAAACCCCTTGGTTCACCTGTCCTTTCAACAGCTGTTGACTTTTGTTCAGACAACAGCTGTCTATCTTCCAGATCCTATTTCAGTTCAGTTCAATCTGGTTTTGTCTCCCCTCCCTCTGCCTGATTCATGGTCTCACCCACCTCAGTTTTGGGCTCCCCCTTTGTTTCTATTTAGTCACTTACTATATTTACTTCGATCAGTGGAAATTCCCACTGGACTTGGAGGCACACTCCTGTAATTCCAGCACTTGGGAGGCTGAGACGGAAGAACAGCCATGAGTTTGATACATTAAGAGACTCTGTCTCAAAACATGAAAGAAAAAAGGGTGTATCATATAGGCCCATTCTTTAAGTGCAGAAATCCATGATGTGTGTGACATATGGTCAAATGGGGACAGGTTTTCACTGAAAGAGAATGGAGGCAGCTTTCCCTATAAACGGGTGTGTCATCCAGGAATTTGATGCCCCTCTCCAAGTAGCTTTCCCTACAAAACTGGGATTTTAAAATGTATTTGTTTGTTTGTTTGTTTTTCAAGACAGGATCTCTTAGTGTAGTCCTGGCTGTTTGGGAACTCACTTTGTAGACTAGGCTATCCCCTAATTCAGAGATCTATCTGCCTCTGACTCCTGAGTGCTGGAATGAAAGGTGTGAGCCACCATTCCTGGCTAGAATGTATTTTTTTAAAAAATTAAAAATGTATGCTCATATGTGTGTCCCCTTTGTAGGTGTATGTGCAGGTTTATGTAGATGCCCGCAGAGGCCACATGAGGGTGCAACCAATTTTGGTCCTCTGTAAGAGCAGAAATTGCTTCTAACCAATGAGCAATCTCCAGTCCTTTATTTTGTTTTCTTGCTACATTTATTCATTTAATTTGTGTGTATATATGTGCCGAAATGCAGTTCAAGGTGTGCACGTGGGGGGTCACAGGACACCTGTGGGAGCTGGTTCTACTTTGTGAGCTGCTATCAGATCAAAGCATGGTAGCAAGAAGCTTGCTGACTCATCTCAACAGCCTGTTTTTTTATTTTATTTTTTTTAAACATGGTCTTATGTGGCCCAGGCACACCTCACATTTGCCATGTAGCAAAGATGACCTTGAATTTCTGATCCTTCTGTGTCTGCCTTTCAAGTGCTGGGTCACAGGTTCGAAGCTCAAATATGGGATTTTAATCTCAAGGTTACCCAGTGTACCAATGATGAGACTAGGACAGGGATTGGTGACTAACTTTTAGGAGCAAATGCCTGACAAATGGTCAACTGAAAATATAGCCAGGAAAAGAAGATACATACCTGTGTTTGTAGTCCTTCAGGACCCTGTTAGTGTAAAAGGTGGCAGCATCATTCATCTCCTTGACATAAGGACCAGGTTTGGGGGACTGAGAAAACAGGACCATCACCCAAGCATAGAAGAAAAAAAAATAGGATAAGAAAGAAAATACCTCTATGAAGTGCAAGAAAAGCAACAGGACAATGGGTGGGAATCAGAGGCAACGTGTGTTCTGTGAAGGCTGGAGAAACACTTTCTCATCTCAGAGGAGGAAGCACTGGGCTTGCACAGGTTAAGAGAAAGCTGACATAGCCAGCCTGGAAGAAGCCCTCCTTTAGTGCATCAGACTATGGGTAAGGGACCTGAAGGTGGTCCTGGAGGTCCCCAAAAGTATGATGAGGTGGAGGGTAGCATTCCATGTAGACTCACCACAGCTATCCACCCCAGGGCGGGGATGCTCTCGCTGACTGCAGAGAGGTGGTTGAACATGCTGCTCCCTCTGTTTCTCTCTCGGAAAGTCTGGATTTCTTGAATCTTCTCTGATATGGGTTTCAGAAGGACAGCCACTTCATTCTGCAGGCAAACATTGGGTTGGTTACTGTGGACAGACAGAACCCTCTGTGCACACTGGCCCGAGAGGACCGCCCAGGGCTTGCCATGGTTTAGTGGTTTGGAAAGAACATGTGCCCAGCTTGCAGAAGAGGGTGATTTTCTTTATTGCATTATAAAACATTTTTCCTTCCCTAAAGCCTCTCTTTCTTGTACTCATCCCTCCATTCTCAGTCTCCCTCTCTCCTTCTCCTTCCTTGCAAACCTAAATGAGTGTTCTCTGCTTCCTCCAGGCACTGAGGAGCCAGACACCGTAGTGGGGTCTGTGTGCACATTCACACCAAGGAAGCAGCAATGGCCCTGCTTCATGGGAGCGGTTCAGATGCTTTCAGCAGGGTTTTACTCAGTCTTGTTTGCAGGAAGGAAAATGGAAGAGTTCTGTACAACTCTCTCATTTTTAGAAAAACCAACATTTCAGAGCAATGGTTTTTAACCTTGACTAAACACTGGAGCCATCTGCCATCTCTCCCCACTAAATACTCATTACCTGGTCTTAGGGAGGCCTGGGCAGGAGTAGAAAGACTGGGAAAATCCCCTAGGTGATCACAGTCACTGATGCAGTGGTGTGTCATACGCCCAAGGACAGTCCTTTGGGACAGGAGCGATAGACCATAGGGAAGAAGTGATGCTCAGCCACAGTGGTTCTTAGGATCTGCTCCTGACTGTAAACCCCTCACTATGTCTTCTCCTAAGGGAGATGCTATACAAAAGGGCTTTGGAGTTAGAAAGACCTTGGTTCAAATCTCCCCTCTGCCACTTACCATCCAAGGGGCCCTGAGCAAATCACTTCAACTGATCTTTGGTTGTATCTGGCACAAACAAAAGATAACAACCCCTATAGCCTCTAGGTTATAGGAGATGCTATATTTTAAACCTCTAGCCCTAGGGAGGTATACAATAATTACAAGTGATAGTTATGGCAGCTATGTAATTGTTCACATCAGAGTAGTAGTATGTTTCTTGTTGCTGTGATTAAATACTTGCCAAGAAGCAACTTAAGGGAGGAGGGGTCCCTGGAACTTTCTATGTAGACCATACTAGCCTCAGACTCGCAGAAATTCTCCTGCCTCTGCCTCTTGATAACTGGGATTGTAGGTGCATACCACCATATCAGGTTTGGAATTCTAGTCTTTAGAAAGCAAATATTTCTCTCTAGGAACTTTTTCTCAGTTGAGATTCAATGACTAGATCCAATGGGTATGCTTGTTTTCCCAGAGGCCAGTGATCTTCAGTTGTGGCACAGCCATGTTAAAGCCTCGTTTGCCTCTCAGCACTTGGCTAAACTGTAATAAGATTGATGCAATGACACCTTTGAGAAAGGCCAGAATATCTAAATTGCTGGTGGAACCTGGCCTCTTGCCCCAAGAAGACAAAGAACCAGAAACTGTGTATTTACAACGTTGGAGAGATTTATTGAGACCAACTTTGTTTATCTCTAACATCCCAAGAACAAACTGAAGTCTGAGAAGACACAGAATTCTGGAATATATTTTATATTGGTTATCTGATGAGAGCATCATAAATATTGAGAAAGTTTCCTTTTTGCCTTAATTTGGCAATTGTGTGAGGAATTTTCATCAGTTAAAAAATGTCAAGGGAAGAAAGAACAACTTCTATTTCTACCAATGCTAACAAACATTTCAGCCTTCATTCTGTGCCAGTAGATTCGTTTGTGCTATAAAGTGGTTTATCTCCTCCAGTTCATCCCAAACTTTCATAGCTGGACTAAAAAATACCAGAGTGAACATGTGATTTCCATCAAAGCTTAGTGTGCTTATTATGTCAGCAGAAAGGCGATGTAGGAAGACCTTAGACATCTTTCTACCTGCTTATTATGCATCTGTTAGGAATACTCAATAAATACAGGTTGAATTGCATCAATGTCAGTTAAGCGTACAAAAGTACTTCCCACTAGAGAAAGAGATTGTGTGTGTGTGTGTGTGTGTGTGTGTGTGTGTGTGTGTGTGTTGATAAGAACTGAACCCAGAGCCTTGCACAAACTAGGCAAGCAGTCTATCAATTGCGCTGAATCCCCAGTAAGGAGGAGAGAATTTAAAAGGCATTCTGTATATTATTATTATTATTATTATTATTATTATTATTATTATTGGTATATACTTGTATATGTTGTATGTATCCATGTATATGTATGTTGGCGTATGTGCGGGCAAATGCCTGGGTGGATGCATTAGCTGGTGCATGTGTGGAGGCCTGGCGTTGATGTCATGTGTCCTCCTCCATTGCTCCCCACTTTGTTTATTGCTTGTATATATTGTATGTATGCATGTATATGCATGTTGGAGTATGTGGGTTCTGGGGATCCGAATTGTGGTGCTCATCCTTGCCTGGTACTCGGGTGAGTGCTTTATCCACTAAGCCATCTTCTGAGCCTGGTGTCCTGGTTTTTCGAGTATTTATTTTCTTAGAGTATAATGGTGGTGGTCTCAAGACCCAGATCTCGGGGTTGGAGAGATGGTAGCTCAGTCTGTGAAGTACTTGCCACACAAGCTTGAAGACATGGGCTTGGATCTCCAGCTTCCACATTCTTAAAAAAGCTGTGTGTGGCTGTACTTGCCTGTAATTGCTGTTCTGGGAGGGTGGGAAGGAGAGAGGATGGTTGGACGGCAGACACCATTGCCCAGCCAGTCTCAGCAATTAGTGAGCTCCAGGTCCAATGAGAGACCTCTGCTCAAAAAATAAGTAATCAAGGAAGATGCTCTTCATTCACAATATACCCACATGTGTACATATGAACTCACACACCAAATACACGACTTTAAGTCCCCTCCAAAACAAAACAACCAAAACCCACGTTTCCTGTGGGCTTCTGTTTTCTAAGACAATTTCCCGAAAGAAAAATACATTTTCAAGCTGTAAAGGGAAGGAAGCCCCCAAATCTTTTCTGTCCCAGGTGTCTGTGGAGCAGACCGAGTCCCACATGGTCCTAAGGGACGGAAAAGGCGTGTGTGCATGGTTGTGTTTTCAGCCAGCATTTCCAAGGCTGTCCTTGCCAGGCTGTGCTTGGGAGACTATCTCAGGCTGTGTCTTTATGGCCCTCACAATGGCTCTGAACTTGAAGAACTGAGTTCTGTTATCAGTTCCATCTCCATTTAGCTCCAGAAGGAACTGGACTGTTTTGCAGAAAGTAAAATGGAAGGGTTTTTTTTATCAGCAAGCTTTGGAGAAACTACCCAAAAAAGGCAAACTGAATCTTTCAGGCAGTTCTGTAAGAGATGCAACAAACTGGACCTTGACCTTAAAGATGGGCACAGAATAGCAAGGAAGCCGGCTAGTTATTTCTAGAGCCAATGGTTCTTTTTAAAAATTTAAATTGTATTTTTATTTACTAATTTTGTGTGTACTAGTGAACTTGAAAGGACAGTTTGTGTGAGTCAGTTCTCTCCTTCTGTCATGTGGGTCTGGAGATCAAACTCAGGTCATCTGGCTCAGTGGTTTTCCCTCGGAGCCATTTGGTCAACCTTTGAAACACAGGTTCTTTTAAAAATATTTATTTATCTTTTATTTTTAGTGTATGTATTCATAGCTATGTGAGCTTATATGCCTTATATACATGCAAGAGTCTGCAGGGGAGAAGAGCGCATTGGAGTCCCTGGAACTAGAATTACAGACAGTTATGGGCCACCATGTGGGTGCTGAGACTTGAACTCGGGTCCTCTGGATGAACAGCCAGTGCTCTTAACCCCTAAGCTGTCTCTCCAGACCCTAGAATGCATGTTTGTTTTTATAGTTTTATGTCAAGTAGAAAATAGCTAAGTCATTTTGTAAAAGGATTTCTTCTGAATATGAAATTAATATTTGCTCACTGGAATCACTGGAAAAACATAGATGAGAAATGCAAGTAAATACAGAATATTCTAATTCCATCATGGAGAGAATCTCTGTAGGTGGGGTACTATATATGTGTTCAAAAACGAAAATCATTGTCTTTAAAATAACGGCTGCTCAGTTTGGTAGGATTCCTTCACCCAAAGAATGCTCCACAACCATGCACAGCTGGGCTTCACTAACTGCATTCAGTGGGTTCTAAAACAAGGAATGAAGCTGGGAGGTATTGGGAAAAATATGGAAGGCTGAAGGAGTGAAATGGGAAATAAATATACCTCATTGTGTACACATATGCAATTCTCAAGAATAAAGAAAACATTTAAGAAGACTGTAAGAGCCAGAGATTAGGGAGTTTGCTGTGAGAGTGTGTCTCCTGGTGACATCAGAAGCTACATCCATCAATTCTCACCACCATGAGCAAACATCACCCAAATGTGAGCTGAACAAGTATGACAGCAGCGAACATGCCAAGTTGGACAAGAAAAAGCCCGCGAGGCCTCAACTCTACACAAAGAACTACAGGCAACTGAGGAAATCCGGGAAAGGAAGAGGTGGCCTTCCCCAGGGAAGGGCACATCAAGTGGTGGTCAGTGTCAAAGATCAGCCCTGAAAACACACATACACATAACATTATATGGACTGAATAGGCTGTGCTTGGGAATATATATTCATATATATACATATATATTCCTAAATATATAATATATATATATATATACAGTAACAGTGAAAAAAGAGGCCATGAATTTGAAGGAGAGGAGCGAGGAGTATATGGGAAGGTTTGGAGGGAGAAAAGAAAAGGGAAATATTATAATTATATTATAATCTTGAAATAATTTTAAAAAGTAACAAAGAATGAATTTGAATTGAATGCCAGCCGTTGAAACCAGCAAGCATATGAACAGACAAACTCCATCAATACACTGTTAGTAAGTTGTACTGGGCTGTTTTCTGTTGCCATGACAAAATGCCTGGGGAAAACAACTCAAAAGGAAGAAAGGTTTGTTCAGCTCAGAATCCAGAGGTTTAAGGCCATGGCTAGCTGGCTCCACTGCTTTTGAGGCAAGTCAGAACTTCACTGGGGAGGCTGGGTAGGATGACATTTTGAACAAAGGGCC